ATCCTGGGGTCCTGCAGGCAACTGGGCTGTACAAAAAGGGCAGTCTTAAAACTGTGGTGTTAAACTTGGAGATTTAAGGGAAAATGGGGGAGATGTGAGGGGAAAATGGGGGAGATGTGAGGGGAAAATGGGGGGGAAGTGTGAGGGGAAAATGAAGGGGAAATGTGAGGGGAAAATGGAGGGGAGATGTGAGGGGAAAATGGGGGAGATGTGAGGGGAAAATGAGGGAGATGTGAGGGGAAAATGAAGGGGAGATGTGAGGGGAAAACGGGGGAGATGTGAGGGGAAAATGAGGGGGAAGTGTGAGGGGAAAATGAAGGGGAGATGTGAGGGGAAAATGAAGGGGAGATGTGAGGGGAAAATGGGGGAGATGTGAGGGGAAAATGGGGGAGATGTGAGGGGAAAACGGGGGAGATTCAAAGGGAAATGGGAAAGGGACACACTCCTAGACTTCCTAAAACCAGATATGAACAAAATTATGAGAAATTATTCAGCGTGAAGAGCTGTTTCCCCAGGATTTGCATCCTCTATTCCTCTAGGTTTTTTATACCAAATAAAGCCACATTTTTAATCCAACACCAGATCTCAGCTGCCAAGAAGAGCCCGAGAGCATGGAGTGGGAAATAATTGAAAAAAAGGCTTTTTGGAGAGGTTGTTTTACCTGTCTGCAGTCTCCAGCAGTTTCTGCACTATCAGCTCAAAGGAGGAGGATAAGCAGTAGGTTGCTGGCTCTTCCTGATCATCAGCCACATCTGCAGCTTCATACGCAGCTTCAGCAAGGCTGGAGAAGGCCTGGAACACAAAATATCCTTTGGTTTTCCAGCCTCACAGCTCCAGAAATTCAGATTCCATAGGTTTTGATTCCAAAATACAACAAAAAAAGGTAACAAACCCAAACTAAAATGTGTGCAGGATGAACAATTCCAGAGCAGTTTAACTGTGATATAAGTGGGTGAGAGGAGCTAAAAGCTTCCTGGCTTTTTGTTTTACTCTACAAACATTCAGGAATCATCATCATGAGACAAAAGCCACCTGGATTTTTGCCAATATAACAGAGCAGGGAAAACCCCTTTGTGCTGATGAATCTTGGAACCTCTGGAATTCTAAAAAGAAGAGATTCTGTCACTTCTATAAGTTGTTTTGACAGGAAAATCCTCCTCCCCAGCTCAGTCTGAAGGAGCAGCTCCTGGGTGGCAGTGGGGACATGAGAGACCACAAAGCATCAGCAAAAAAAAAATCCTGCTTCCCAAATTATTTCTGGGATCGCTCCAGGAACAGGTTTGGGTTTGGGCCTTGAGGCAATCCAATAAAAAGTTTAATCCAAAAATCCCTTTTCCCAACCCCATGACAGCAGGGACAGTTGTAGCATTCCCAGACTAGAGGCAACTTCTACACTCAGTTGAATATCAGCATTTTTTTCCCTAAAATTCAACCTTTTTCCCTTATTTTTTCCTGCCAAAGCCACAAAATAGACTTGGGATAATGAAAGTGTCAACCAGTGTTTGCTGAGGGAGCAAACCATGGATTAACTGTGGAATTCACTAAAGTATGTGTGGATAAATATATATATCCACATTAAAAATGATATAAATATGTTAAATTATAGAAATATATAAACCCATATAAATATATATATAAAGTATAAACCCACATAAATATATTTATGTATAAATATATAAAATAATATAAACACAGAAAATTACATAAATATAGGAAACAATATAAAGATATAAACGTGTCTATTTTTATATATTAATTTGCATTTATATATTTTAATTTATTATTTAATAAAGCCCTTGACAGAAGGGTGAAGCCAGATGGGAACCAGGCTCTGCCTGAGGGAAAATGGGAGAGATGTGAGGGAAAAAGGGAGATCTGGGGGAAAATGGGGGACATGTGAGGGAAAGCGGGAAGAGACGTGAGGGAAAATGGGAAGAGACGTGAGGGAAAATGGGAAGAGACGTGAGGGAAAATGGGAAGAGACGTGAGGGAAAATGGGAAGAGACGTGAGGGGAAAAAGGGAGATTTGAGGGAAAACGGGAAGAGATGTGAGGGAAAGCGGGAAGAGACGTGAGGGAAAGCGGGAAGAGACGTGAGGGAAAGCGGGAAGAGACGTGAGGGAAAGCGGGAAGAGATGAGGGGAAGTGGGAAGAGATGTGAGGGAAAGCGGGAGATTTGAGGGAAAATGGGGGAGATTTGAGGGAAAGCGGGAAGAGACGTGAGGGAAGGCGGGAAGAGACGTGAGGGCAAAAGGGAGATTTGAGGGAAAACGGGGGAGATTTAGGGAAAACGGGGGAGATTTAGGGAAAACGGGAGATTTGAGGGAAAACAGGAGATTTGAGGGAAAACAGGGGAGATTTGAGGGAAAGGGGGAAGAGACGTGAGGGAAAAAGGGAGATTTGAGGGAAAACGGAGGAGATTTAGGGAAAATGGGAGATTTGAGGGAAAACAGGGGAGATTTGAGGGAAAACGGGGGAGATTTGAGGGAAAGGGGGAAGAGACGTGAGGGAAGGCAGGAAGAGACGTGAGGGAAAGCGGGGGAGATGTGGTCAGACAAGACTAAACAACCTCAAGGGACAGCCAGGCTGTATATTTAGGAAATTTCCTTCATGGAAAAAATCCCAGGCATCTGAACAAGCTGCCTGGAGCAGGGCTGAGCTCCCAATCCCTTCAAATTCACCGATGAGCACAGAAGAGCCAACACAATTTAGCGGTGGTACTGGGGGAACACTCAGACAAAAACCCTTCCAGATCCCACCAGGAGCTGTTTTTCCCAGTGGATCCGGATTCCCAGCGGGGTTTGGGGGGTTCCTCACCCAGCAGACGTTGGTGGCCACCCTGGGCTCGGCGCTCAGCCCCTCCATCAGGCACTGCAGCAGCGGGGCCAGGTAGATATCGTTGATGGCGGCCTCGGGCAGCATCTCGCAGATCCTGCCCACAGTCCAGGCTGTCGTGTCCCTGACCACCACACTGGGATCCTTCATCAGCTCTATCAACGTTGGCATGGCCTGGGAAAGAATGGTGAAAAACCAGGTAAGGGGGGAAAAAAAAATCCTGCATTTATCCCAATCCTGTAGTTTATTTAGGAGGTATTTTATTTTGTATTAATGTGATCTCTTTTCCAAACACCTTCACCAAGGATGGTTTTACTCAGCATGTCCAAAGAAGTTTATACATTCAGTAAATATCGTTTTCACTCCTTCAAATGCATTTCTTCATATATTTCTACCTACCAGAGTCCCAAAGCAGATTTGAGGTAACTTAATGTGAGTGCTGGGTTATGGATCAAATGCAGGATTTGGATTTGAGATGCTCTCCTCCAATTAACCCAGGGATTTGGGGCTTTAAAAGCCTCCAAAACAGGTTATGGTCTTCTGATTTTCCTTAAATTAAGAGCATGTGCAAATCAGACATTCTCCTTCAATTAACCCAGAGGATTTTGGGCTCTAAAAGCTTCCACAAAGGGGTTATAACCTTCTCATTTTCCTTAAATTAAGAGCACAAGCAAATCAAACATTCTCCTCCAATTAACCCAGTGATTTTTAGCTCCAAAAATCTCTAAAATCAGATAATATCCTTTTGATTTTCTTTAAATTAAGAGCACATGCAGATCAGGCATTCTCCCCCAGATAACCCAGGGATTTTGAGCTCTAAAAGCCTCCAAAAATTCAGAAAACTCAGGCTCTCCAAAACAGGTTTTGTTTCCTCTGAAACAAATGATAATGAAACAAATGATGAAAATTATATCCTCTCGTTTTCCTTAAATTAAGAGGATATGCAAATCAGACATTCTTCCTCAATTAACCCAGCAATTTTGGGCTCTAAAACCCTCCAAAACCCCACAAAACTCAGGCTGCACAAGCCCCCAAAACAGCTGATATCCTTCTGATTTTCCTTAAAATAAGAGCAAAACAGACATTCTCCTCCACAGAACCATGCAATTTTTAGCTCTGAAAGCCTCTAAATATGAGACTTTTACCTCCAAAAAACAGATTATATCCCTCTTGATTCTCCTTACGCGAAAACCTCACGCAAACCCAACGCCCTCCTCTGAAAAACCACAAGATTTTTACCTCTTTTTCCTAAAAAACTCACCTGTATTACTAAAGGTTTGAGCTGGTTGGGCTCGGGCCCTTCCAGGATGCATCCGAAGGCCATGACGGCAGCATCCCGGTACCTCCAGTCGGGATTTTTGATGTGCTCCTTGATGAAGGGCAGCACGTGGGGGACGATGTCGTCCTCGCAGCACGTGGCCAGCAGCATCAGGCACACCCCCGCCGCCTTGCAGGGGTTCCAGTCGTCATCGTCGTCATTCTCATCCTGCAAAAAAACGTCCCCGAGGTGTTACATGGAGATAAAACCTCAGCAAAGATAAAATAGCTATTAAAAATGTAATTCAGGCTTTATTATTCTGGTTATAGCCTAATAAATTCCTGATAAAGGGATTTTATATTAATTATAATATATATAATACAAATATATTATATATATATATAAATGTAGAATATAAATAGCCCAATAGCCCAATAAATTCCTGATAAAGGGATTTTATATTAATTATAATATATATAATACAAATATATTATATATATATATAAATGTAGAATATAAATAGCCCAATAGCCCAATAAATTCCTGATAAAGGGATTTTATATTAATTATAATATATATAATATAAATATATATTATATATAAATAGCCTAATAAATTCCTGATAAAGGGATTTTATATTAATTATAATATATATAATATATATATAAATAGCCTAATAAATTCCTGATAAAGGGATTTTATATTAATTATAATATATATAATACAAATATTATATATATAAATATATAATATAAATAGCCTAATAAATTCCTGGTAAAGGAATTTAATATTAATTCCAATATATATAATATATATATATTTTATATATATATAAATATATAATATAAATAGCCCAATAAGTTCCTGATAAAGGAATTTTATATTAATTATATACAATATAAATATATTATATATATAAATATTTTATATAAATAGCCTAATAAATTCCTGATAAAGAAGTTTTATATTAATTATAATATAGATATAATATTTATATATATTATATATATAAATATATAATATAAATAGCCTAATAAATTCCTAATAAATTCATGAGAATAGAATCCCGTAATGGGGAAAATTTGGTTGTTCTTGTAAGAAGGAATTTGGAGATTGTGACAATTTAGTGACACCTGCAACAGCTACCCTAAATCATTAAAAGAAAAAAATGCGTGGCCAGCACATAACCACCTCTGGTAAATGAAGTAATTAGGGTAACAACTGGTTACCAAGCAATTATAGTTTATTGTTTTATAATTACCAACAATATTATTAATATTATAAACAATAATATATACTATATACTACATTACATACTGTAATATAACTATTACTTATAATTATGTTATAGTTCAGCACAACATTTCTAGGAAAATTAAATATTTAGGAAAACTTTATATTTATTATATATATTAAATTATGTATTTAGAGCTGCAGTTAATAAAAACACCTTTTTTCGCTGCTTAAAAAAGGTGTGTGTCTCATCAGCTCTCCACTGTGAGCACCAGGATCTGTGGGATTACGTGGAATTATCCCTTGGTTTGGTGGGTGTAAGGAAAATCCTGTTTCTGGAGGAGAGGTAACAGGAGTCACTGACACCTTTGGTGTTTTTCTTGAGGGGCCTCACTCACTTCTTCCCTCATCCAGGTGGAATTTTATCCCTTTGATCCCCGATATCTTCCCCAAGTGGACCCAGCACCATTAAAAACCTCCTTTCCCAACCAAACTCAGTCTATTAAACCTTCAGTACCTTTCTGACTTTGAGCGGCCTCATCCACCCCCCAAAAAGAGCTTTTCCAGGTGGAATTTTGTCCCTTTGATCCCTCCCAGGTCCCTGCACCATTAAAAATCTCCTTTCCCAACTCCCAAAGCCCCCAGAGCTGCCCCTGTTTCATCCCCTGGGATCCTCCTGCAATTCCACTCTGCTCATCCAAGACCAAAAAGAAACCAGGAAAACAATTCCCTGGATTCACTCAGAGCATTTTCCCAGCCAAATGAAGCCTGTTCTGTTAATTAACAGTTTTATTTTATAATTAGGCAAGTGATTCCATTAATTTTGATTAGCCTGATTGCCCCAACAAATCCCTGGAAATGTTTTACAGGGCCTAAACAAAACCTACGCCTCAAAAATCCCAGAGATTGGATCCCACATGAGGCAGGGCCTGTGGAATATTTGGTTTAATATCTCAAATATTCTCAGTAGGAATACAGGGAATCACCACACCTCTCCAGAAATCACAAATCCTGGGAAGCACAGCTCCAATAAATCCCTGGAAATATTTTAAAGGGCCTAAACAAAACCTAGGCCTCAAAAATCCCAGGGATTGGATCCCACATGAGGCAGGGCCTGTGGAATATTTGGTTTAATATCTCAAATATTCCCAGTAGGAATACAGGGAATCACCAGATCTCTCCAGAAATCACAAATCCTGGGAAGCACAGCTCCAATAAATCCCTGGAAGTGTTTTACAGGGCCTAAACAAAACCTAGGCCTCAAAAATCCCAGGGACTGGATCCCACACAAGGCAGGGGCTGTGGAATATTGGGTTTAATATCCCAAATATTCCCAGTAGGAACACAGGGAATCACCAAATCTCTCCAGAAATAACAAATCCAGGGATGTGATCAGGGAAAAAGGAGGAAAGTCCCAGTCTCAGCCCAAAAATTGCTGCATCACTGGCTCAGAGTGGTGCATGAAACCTCATCACAGACCAGGGACCGCCACCTCCTGAGGCATTTTTGGGATCAGAGGAATCCAAAACCCAATTCCCAAAGGAGCCAGGGTGGACAGGAAGAGCTGGGCTGCAATTCCCACTGGGAATGTGGCACTCACCTGTTTTGTTAAGGTCTGGGTTAGAATAGGGACCAAATATTGCAGTGCCCCCTTGGCATAGAACTTGCTGGTGTGCTCTGGGGGCCGTCCTTGTTCTGCTGCCTGGAGGGAAGACAAAGAGGTGAAAAGTTTATTTTCATCAATATATTTATCTATTTTTATACAATTTTATTTTTTTCTCAAGCGTTACGAGGCTGAATGCAACTCCAAGAGGCACAAAATTCCCTTTTTTTAACCCCCTTCCTTTCCAACAGGAATTCTGAGTTGCCTCAAGGGCACTTTGCATCGAGTTAAATATTTCAAAATCCACTTTAAATATTCCAAAATCCACTTTCATTCCTCATCCCTCCTTACAGGGCACAATTATCCCCATTTTCACTTGGCTGTCAGGTGTAATTACCAAGTGACCCCGAGGTGAAGGAGCAAAAGGTTTGGAGCAAATAAATCCCACCCCACTCTGCTGCCTGTCCTTTTATCCTTGATTTTTTGGGAATCCAAGCATAGATATTTAGCTGCTTTTTAAAAAAATAGATGTGATTCATGCACAGCCCTTCAAAGTTTCAGCTGTTATTGATCTCCACAGATAATTTCTGCCAACAGCATCTGCAAATTCCCCAAATTCCTCTCCAGCCCCAGCCATTCCACAGGATAATTATTTTTATTTCATCCAGAACCTCAGATTTGACTCATAAATCATGGATTTTTAGGGAATGTGAGCCATCTTTTGGCACAAAGTCCTTCATGGTTGTGACAGCCCACAAAATTTTGGATATTATTTCATTAATGCCATGGATTATTTCCAGGAAAATAAGAGAGAGCCCTGTGATAGGAGCTGCACTTGGATTTAGGTGGAAATAGGGAATAAGAATGGTAAAATTGAGTTATTTGAACAAAAGCCACCAGGTTGGAGAGGGATGGGAGCAAGATGGGATGGTGGGAGGTGTCCCTGCCCATGGGAATGGGATTTAAGGTCCTTCCAACCCAAACTATTCCAGGATTTTGGGATTAACAGGAATTCCAAATGCAAAGTCAGCTAAAAATCCCCAGTTTACCTGGGGGAGCAGAACCTGGGCCAGCACCAAGGAAGGAGCTAAAAACACCCAAAGGAGGAGCCAAAAGTATCCCAAATGAGGAACTAAAAAATCCCAAATCAGGAGCTGAAAACCCCCAAATGAGGAGCTAAAAAATCCCAAATCAGGAGCTGAAAACTCCCAAAGAAGGAGGGAAAAACTCAACTCCCAAATGAGCAAGAAGCTCCCAAAGGAGGAGCTAAAAACTGCCAAGGAAGGAGCTAAAAACTCCTAAAGGAAGAATTAAAAACTCCTAAATGAAGAATTAAAAACTCCAAAAGGAAGAATTAAAAACTCCAAAAGGAAGAATTAAAAACTCCAAAAGGAAGAATTAAAAACTCCCAAAGAAGGAACTGAAAAGTCTCAAATAAAGAATTAAAAATTCCAAAGGGAAGAACTAAAAATTCCAAAATGAAGAATTAAAAACTCCAAAAGGAAGAATTAAAAACTCCAAAAGGAAGAATTAAAAACTCCAAAAGAAGGAACTGAAAAGTTCCAAATAAAGAATTAAAAATGCCAAAGGGAAGAACTAAAAATTCCAAAATGAAGAATTAAAAACTCCAAAATGAAGAATTAAAACCTCCAAAATGAAGAATTAAAAACTCCAAAATGAAGAATTAAAACCTCCAAAATGAAGAATTAAAAACTCCAAAAGAGGAACCAAAAACTCTCAAGAAAGAAACCAAAAACTCCCCAAAAAAGGAACCAAAAACCCCCCAAAAGAAGAACCAAAATCTCTTTTGGGAGTTTTTATTTGCTGCTTTTTTTTTTTTTTTTTTTTTTTTAAAATTTGTGACCCCAAAACCAACTCGGGAATTTTCCCCACCCCCTCCTGGCACAGCAGGAGGAACTCCCAGCGTTCCCCAGGATTTCAGCATTCCCAAAGGGATTATCCAGGGAATTCCAGCCTTTCCCAAGCCCCACCTCCGAGGCCTCGATGGCCAGGTCCATCTCCTCGTCGCAGACGTTGGACCAGAACTCGATGCCCTGCAGAGCCACCTCGTCTATGTCGCTTTTCATCGCCTCGATTGTGATCTGCAGGGTCAAAAAATGGGGGGAAAAAATGAGATTTTAGGGTTTTATCCCTCCTGGAATTCATCCCCGTGTGTGGGAAGTCAGAAAGAGTTGCTGGGTTGTGGGGAATTCAAGTTATGGTGTTTTAAAATTCAAAATAATCTGGGTTTTTTTTCCTGTTTTATCATCTCAAAGCTTCGGGGGGTTTGAGGTTTTTTTTTTGTCCCATCTGGAATCTCAAAGCTGATGGGGTTTTTAGGGATTTTGCTGGGATTGAGATTCCCAGGGAAATTAAGGAAAATCAGGAATGGAAGTTTTTAAAAGAGATAGACAGATAAATAAAAATGGAAAATATAGATAGAAATTGAAAGAGATTACAGAAATAAATATCACAAATATCAATATAAATATGGGGAAATCAGAGAGATAAATATGAGGAATATAAATACAAATGTGGGAAATCAGAAAAATAAATATCAATACAAACACAAGGAGATCAGCCAAAAATATGAGAAATATAAATACAAATGGGGGGAAATCAGAAATAAACCTGAGAAACAGGAGAACAAATGGGGAGAAATAAATGTGAGAACTATAAATACAAATAGAGGAAAATCAGATAAATAAATATCAATACAAATAGAGGGAGATCAGAAAAATAAATTTCAATAAAAACACAGGGAAATAAACCAAAAATATGAGAAATATAAATATAAATGGGGGGAAATCAGAGAAATAAATGTGAGAAATATAAATACAAATGAATATGAGAAATCTAAACAAAAATGGGTAGAAATCAGAGAAATAAACCTGAGAAATAGGAATAAAAAATAGAAATAAAAAGAGATGGAACTCAGAAAAAATTAGTATTAGTAAAAAGATAAATGATAATATGCATATTTATATGTATATTATATTTATATTATATCATTTTATTATTATATATTATACATTTACGTTATATTATTATATTATATTATATTCCGTTATATATTTATATATGAATATGTATGAATATATTATATTCATATTATATATTTATTATATCTAAAAATATAAAATAAAAATATAATAAAAATATAAAAAATATTAATAAAAAGAATAAAAATATGATAAATATAAACACAAATGGATAGAAATCAGAGAAATAAACCAGAGAAATAGGAATAAAAAATAGAAATAAAAAGAGATGGAACTCAGAAAAAATTAGTATTAGTAAAAATATAAATGATAATACGTATACTTACATGTATATTATACCTATATTTATATCATTATATTATTATATTTACATTATATTATTATATGATATTATATTCCGTTATATATTTATATATGAATATGTATGAATATATTATATTCATATTATATATTTATTATATCTAAAAATAAAAATATAATAAAAATATAAAAAATATTAATAAAAAGAATAAAAATATGAGAAATTTAAACAGAAATGGGAGGAAATCATAGAAATAGAAGTGAGAATGAGTAAAAGAATGAAATAAAAAGCACTCACAGCAAAGAGGGCAGGCCCCATGTACGTCTCCATGTATTGGTAATAAAGGGACATTATCTTCACCAGGTTCTGTAAGGCAGCCACTCGTACCTGGGACAGAGAAAAATGCCCAATTTCACCCCATTTCCTTATTTTTCATGGTTTTTTTGGGAGGAGGAGATTCCCCAGGAAGGGAATTTTGAATTTACTCACCCTCGTGTCTGGACACTGTGTGGCTTCACAGACTACTTGCATAATAAAGTGCCTTTCAGACTGAAAAAAAGAGAAATAAAAAAACATTGAAAGGGGTTTAAAAAAGAATTGAAGCTTTTGAAGTCTTCCCAGGGAGGGGGAATTAAGGAACATAAAAATTAAAATGTAAATAAAGATATAAATAAACAGATAAAATAGAAATTAAAACATAAAGTTAAATAAAAATATAAATAAACAGATAAAATATAGATAAAAATGAAATGGAAAAACCATGAAACATAAATATAAATGTAAAATAAATTTAAAATATAAAATGTAAATTAATTTTAAAAATAAAAAGAAAATATAAAATATAAATATTGAAATTAGAATGCAATTTAAAATAATAAAATAGAATAGAACGGAATAAAATAGAACGGAATAGAATACAATGGAATAAAATACAATGGAATAAAATACAATGGAATAAAATAGAATGGAATAAAATAGAATGGAATAAAATAGAATGGAATAAAATAGAATAAAAAATTATAAAAAAATTCAGAAATGAAAATAAAATGAAAATAAAATGAAAATAAGATGAAAATAAAATTTTTTAAAATAAAATAAAAATAAAATAAATATAAAATAAA